TCGTGTTAAATAATCGCGATTATGATTTTTGCCCTAATCGAGCAGCCCTAGTGTGTGTTCTGGGCAGGACTGAGTGTGCTCTCGTGTTTGTAGGGTTGCAGGCTCTGGATCGCTGCGGTGCTGCTGTGGCTCTGGTTCCTGCTGAAGATCTGCCGGATCGGTGTGTCCTCCGCGTCTCCTGCTGGCTCAGTGTGTAGCAGACCTTCTCTGACTGCATCAGATTGTTGATCTCGAGCTCAGATTGAGTCCATGACGCCTGTAATCTATGATGCTCTCTTTGTGTTTTCAAATGCATGCATATTTGTGTTTGTTAAAGGGCTCATTCACCCAAATGATGGTTCTGTCATTCATGTCATTCCAAACCTTTCGTTCTTGAACACAAACACAAGTGCATGCTTCTCTTTTCCCTTCAGTGGAATTGTATAGCAGTTTTTTTCCCCAGCTAAAGCAGTTTTGTTAGTGAAACAGCTTGTAAACAATGTCATGTAATGTAACATTTTCTTCACGAAAGACATTCAGTGTCCATAAACAAAAATAACTTTAGAGAGGAGCATTTTGATAAATTACTAGTGCTGTCGAGCGATTAATCGCATCCCAAATAAATGTTTTTGTTTACATAATACTGTATATGTGTGTGTATTGTGTATATTTATTATGTCTATTATATCTGGCCCTACACATAAGTTAGGGCACACACTTGATCTTGTGTTATCCTCAGGCTTCCCCATCAAAGACATTTATGTAAATGATACTGGTTTGTCTGACCATTGGCCTGTTGTGTTTGACAGTGAGTTTTCTTGTTGCAGCTCTGTATACCAGCCTTCTACTTTTCTTGCTCGCCCCTTAAATTCATCTACCGCTATGCATTTTAAAGATTTGTTTTTAGCTTCGGCAGCTGGTAGTACCAATTTGGCATCACAAGGCATGGATGTTGAGGATATGGTTATTAATTTCAATGCTTCTTGTACTGAAGTATTAAATGCAGTTGCTCCTCTCAAAGTTAAGAAAACCGAAAGAAAAAAGCAGCCCTGGCTAAATGAAGACATTAATAGTCTTCATAGATAAGATTGCTGGTATTAGCTCTCAGATTTGATCATCCTCATCTGAAAGTTAATTTAGTATAATTTACAGATTAGTTGTTTAAATTAAATTAATGCCTCTCTGCATAGCAGCACTGTTCCATCCTGTTTAAAACATGCTGTGGTTCACCCCTTGCTAAAAAAAACAAACCTAGATTCTTCTGAACTTCATAACTATAGACCTATTTCTAAGTTGCCCTTTTTGCTGAAAGTTATGGAAAAAGTGGTTTAAAACCAACTTAATCTCAAACAACATCTTAGATCCTTTTCAGTCTGCTTTTAAGGATAAGCACAGTACTGAGTCTGCCCTATTAAGAGTGGCAAATGACATCTTGTTATCAGTCGACTCTGGAAACCGTGCAGTTCTTGTTCTGTTGGATTTAAGCGCAGCCTTCGACACCGTGGACCATTGCATTCTGTTAGAAAGATTAAATCACGAGGTTGGCATCCGTGATGCTGCCTTAGATTGGGTTGAGTCTTATCTTTCAAATAGGAGTATATCTGTAGAAATTGGAGAATTTTCATCATCCCCAGTGCCAATCACCTGTGGGGTGCCACAGGGTTCGATTCTGGGTCCAGTTTTGTTTTCTCTTTACATGCTTCCACTACGCTCGATCTTTGAGCGTCATAAGATCTCCTATCACATCTATGCAGATGATACCCAGCTCTATTTACCATTAGACTCTGGTAGAGATTCTGTTTCTCCCCTGCTAGCATGTTTAAAGGATATTAAAGAATGGATGGATGAAAACAAGACAGAGGTTATCCTGTTTGGCTCCAAACCGCAGATTGACAAATACAGAGCTTTCTTGGGGCATCTTCAGTTAAATAATCACTCCTATGTTAAAAATCTGGGGGTCATCTTTGATTCAGATCTGAAGTTTGACAAACAAATAAATTTGGTGGTCAGGGCCAGCTTCTTCCAGCTAAAGCTACTTCGAAAGTTAAAACACCTTTTTACTTTTAGGTTTGGAGACCGTTATTCACGCTTTTATTTCCTCAAGGCTTAAAGGCAGGGTAAGTGATTTCTGGTAGCCAATGTTGATATTTTGCAGTTTCTGTGATGTACCAGGTTATGACTGTTTTTTGACTATTATACATTTTTGTTTTTATTCTTTTACGTTATTGGATTGATTACTTGTCACGTTCTGTTTTAATATGCGTGTATCTTGCTTTGCTTGTGAAGCACTTTGGTCAACATTCGTGTTGTTTTAAGGTGCTATATAAATACACTTTGACCTTGACCTATGTATATAAAAATACACACATCATATATTTTGGAAATATTTACATGTATATATTTATATTAATATAATTTATATCATATATAAATATATTTAATATATAAACGTAGCATATTTTTCTTAAATATATGCATGCATGTATGTGTATTTATATATACATAATATATGTGTGTACTGCATATATTTTGTGTGTGTGTGAGAGTGTGAGTGTGTTCAGCGTGGTCTGTATTCAGTGGATTGTGTCGCCCTCTTGTGGCCGCTCAGTGGAAATAAGACAAGTTTGAAGATTCTATGTACAGTAAGCATCAAATCTATTAATTTGCATATGTTTGTAAGTTTTAATCGGCTTGTTGTCCACACTAACATGTGTAAAATGGTGTATAGATCTGCTGCAGGGAAAAGCTGAGCAGTTTTTCTGTCAGGTGTAGTATGTGATTGTTAATGAGAAGAGAGAAGCTCGTCAGATGTTGACGGCTATAGATGAGCTGTGCTGTGATGTAAAGGGACAGTATGAGCTGATATACACAGATCTGCCTGACAGCAGACATTACATCTGGAGTTTCACAGCTCTCTGTCTGAAGTACATGTGCTGCAGATAGCCAGACCTGCATTTGTTTCTTTAAATAAACATGAATTTTTTTTCTTGACATGAATTTGCCAAGCTAAAGTTTCTAATTACCCTTTTTTTATTTTATTTTTTTTAGAATAAAAAACTACTGTTTTATATGCATATTAACAAAATAATAAATTGGCCTCAAAAAGTATTTCTACACTTAAGCTTACAATTGTATAACTATTTGCATTAAAAATACAAAAATACGTTTTTTATTTTAAAGAAGCACCATTTTGAATTACTAAATTTCACAAAAGGTTTCAAAATATGAAACAAAAATATTTCTATATATATAATATAGTTTGTGTACTGTATGTAATAAGTCGTGTTATTAGGATTTTAGTCATCGGCTATATTTTATAAATATCTATCCGTCCTTTTCGCCACCCGATTGTCGCATAATACCGCGGCTATTATGAATGTGTTATAATAATAATGTGATCGATTTATTTTATGCTGCACGTTATTTTAAAAGACAAGGCCGTGAGCGGTGAGAAATCGAATCACTTCCGGTTCCGGCGTCGCTTGTTGTTTGCGTCCGAACAGAGCGGTGTCGACTCTCAAAGATTCATTCGATTCGCTCGATGAATTCAACAGACGCACGCCTGTTCAAAACAAACGCACGAATGAATCGATTCCCTCTCGGAAATGACTCCCAACAGCAACTTCGTCTTGTGTAGTTCAGTTTGGAAAAGAAGAAACGGGGCACGAAGAAAGTAGATTAAACGGCTAAAAGTGTGTTCGCGCGTTTTTTCAGCGCAGATGTGTGCGGTCTGAGGCGATCTTTGATGCGATCTGCAGGCGCAGGAGTCAAATCAATGCTCAGCCCGCACTGAAGCAGGCCCAGATCCAGCACAAGGCTTAAACGCGTTACTGTAAGATGTCGTCTCTGGAGGAGTATGAGCGGCATTACGCCTCTCTAAACTCCGAGTCTGGATGTGAATCAGTCGGCGGAAGATCATCAACATCTGGAGCTTTCAGCGGAGAAGAGGAGAGACTGCATTACATCCCCATCCGAGTGCTGGGAAAGGGCTCTTTCGGAGAAGCGACTCTGTACAGACGCACTGAGGTGAGCAGCAGCAAATATTACAGCGCTCACTGTCATCATATATTAATATCAGCAGCAGCAATTAACAACATAGGCCTAGGCCTACGCCACTGTCAGAGGATCGGCGCTCTGCTCTGATTGGCGGGTTGGTCGTTCCAGCCACGCCCACTGATAATGAGGGGCTTAAATGGGAGGCTAGTTGCATAAACATAGCCACTATGTTAAGACTGTGTTTTTAAAAATAAATAAATAAGAAATTTGCAACTTTTTATCTCCATTATAAATAAATAAAAAAGAGTTTTATATATCATTCATCAGGGAAATCGTGAGGAAAAAAGTCTGAACTGAAAAATAAACTTACAACTGTGTGAAAAAAAGAACAGAATAAAAGAGAAAAATTGAATAAAATTTTACAAGAATTGCAAGGGGAAAAATGATCTTTTTATGCAATAATCGTTTTGTATTTTTTATTCCATGGTAGAAACAATCTTCCATAAATATACACATTTGTGCACATGCTTCAATAGAAAACAATATTAAACATTCCACATTTTATAAATGTATTTAAGTGTGCCAAACTAGAAAAAATAAATTTGTTTTCCTCAATGGCTTTGGCTCAGTTTTGGCTTCAGTTGTAACGTCCTCTAAACTCTTATTGCAATTCTCACAACTGTTTTATGGGACGTCACGCTGTGATTCCTGCTACATGAAGTGGCAGCTCATTTGCCAGTTTATCAGACATCTCAAACACATGCACAGGTTTAGCTGATTGAGCTGGTTTTGGTGGATTCTGTGCAGGATAACTCTCTGGTGGTGTGGAAGGAGATCGATCTGAACTGTCTGTCGGACAAGAAGCGCAGAGATGTGATGAACGAGATCAGCATCCTATCCATCCTGCAGCACAACAACATCATCGCCTACTTTAACCACTTCATGGACAAGAACACGCTGCTGATCGAGCTGGAGTACTGCAACGGTACCCCCCCACACACAGACACACACTCACACTCTCACTCACTCACTCACTCACTCACTCACTCACTCACACACACACAGAAGACACCAGAGCCCTGACGTGCCGTGTGTATGATTCAGTCTATTAAAATGCATTTAGAATGATTCAAAATTCAAGACATGAAAATTCAAGACATGAAAATGTGATATTGATATTACAACAGTTCAAAAAAACAAGAAGTTAATTAAGAGACTTATGTTTTAGACGCCATATTGCCTGTTTTTGCTCTATTTCAACAACAAAAATAATTCCAAACACAGCCACAGCACTGTTTCGTGTCTCTGAGCAACATGACGGCGATTCGTTCCTGAATGAATCAACCGTTTAAATGATTCGGTTCAATCACAGTGACTCACTTATTAACAGTGACTTCCTGCCACCTGCTGGCGGTTTTAGTTTCACATTTAAAGTTTCTTTTAATTATTTAAATAATTTCAAATATCAATATTCAACGTTTTATGTTTAATATATCAAAACATTATTTATGCATTTGTAACTACAGGTTAAATGCATTCATGTCCTGCATTAAACAGTGTGTAAATACATCTAAACGCCACTTCAGACGCAGCTTCTGTTTCTCCTCTGCATTGTAAAGATGAATTTTATTGATACTGATTTCATTTGCTCGGTAACAGCCCAAATGTGTTATTATTCTAATTCACTGATTAAATGTAAGAATTTGACTCAAAAGATAATGGACACTTTTAGAAAAATGGCTTTATAAAGGTAAAAATGCCCATTAAAAGGTAAAAATTAATTTAAACTTATTGGAAAAGATTAATTTCTATCACTGCTGTGAACTGACCAGCACACAGAATATGAAGAATATCAAAAACTTTAGGAGTCAGTCAGCTGTCCACGGTAATCCTTAAGATACCAGCACAATAACACACTTCACAAAATATCGTCATCGATAAAATCTCAGAAAATATCAAGATACTACTTTTTTGTCAATATCGCACACCTCTAGTCTGAATGTGTTTGTGCAGGTGGAAACCTCTACGACAAGATCAACCAGCAGAAGGGAGCGCTCTTCAAGGAGGAGGTGAGTTCAGGAGAACCGCGTTCACAGCGTCGCACACAGGGTTCGTACAAGACACTTAGGGCCAGTTTTACTAAACAAGGCAAATTAGTGCGAGAGCGCAATTCCAAAACAGCGCCGATGGGAGGGAAATTTCTGCGGGTGATTTACTGACAGCTAGGGCTGTCACTAACGATTATTTTGGTAATCGAGTAATCTGTCGATTATTAATCGGATAATTATAATTAATCTTTTTGTAGTAATAAAAATAGACCTAAGGGAACAATAGCCTTTAAAATGACTAAAATATAATAGCAATGAGGCAATAATAATTATTTCAAATAAAGTATCAAAAGCAAGTAATCATATGGTTTTATTGAACAAAACTGTTAAAATACATAATGTATTATAAACAATAGAGCTAAAGTACATTACACATTATAACAAATGACTGCAGAGGGCGCCAACGGCCTAATGATTGTTTTACACTTTACTGCGTGATCTAATCCGTGTTTAATATTGACTCAACAACATTTAATTCAAATGTCAACTTAATCTTTAATATATGGCCAATTATTTATGACGGATAAGTTACAGACACCGTAATTTCTTGAATATGTGGACATCACAACGTGTAAACTCAGAGTGAGGGTTTAAACTTTTATTTTGAAATCGCGATGAACAGTTAGCATATTGAGAAAGATAATGTTGTGTTCTCCTGTGTTTGCGTGGGTTTATAAATGATTTACCTTACAAATCTGATGAAACGGTGCACGTTGCGTTCCCAGATGAACGTTATAATAAACCCAAACTCACAACAACATGCAGAGATGAAGTTTGAGACGCTCCACACATGTAAATGATAACAGTTCCTGTGGAACTACTGTGAACGG